TCTAAGATGAAAGCATGGAAGCCATGTTGTTATAATGGTCAAAATCTGCATACACTACGATGGTTTTTGCATTAAAATCTACAAGAAGAAGAATATCTAACCGGTTGCTACTCAGCAGGATGAAATTTACGAACCCGGCTCGTTTTCGGTGGAAGCTGCAGCTGCTAAAGGTTGGAAAGCTTTGAGAGGATTCATGATGACTCCATCTATGAGTCCATACTCTTCGGCTTCTTTGGCGCTCATGAAGAAATCGCGATCAGTGTCTTCGTTAATCTTCTCGAGACTTTGACCGGTGTGGTAGGAAAGATACCCGTTAAGATTAGCCTTATGATACAACATTTCATTTGCCTGCCAAGCAAGTTGCAGTTTAGGGGCTTTGTTGAAAATGTCTAAAATTAACATGGATGAAATCAGAGAATCAATAATCTACTAATCTAAGGTAATAGTACATTCCTGCTAAAAACAATCTAAATTCTCCTACCAAAAACTTGTTCAAGGTGTACATGAAAATTTTCATTTTCTTAATGTTCTTGAAGACTTGTGGAATGATAGCTTACTAAACAAAAACAAATTAGCTCCAAACTCATCCTCAAAGCCTATATATGAAGTACCTTGACAATATAATGCAACCAAAGGAAGTATTACAAGTATCATAAAACAAATGTAGAATTTTATCAATACTTTATTGATCATCCATGAGGATGTATAAGTATACCTGAATATCAATGTCAGTCTGTCCACCCTGAGCACCACCAAGAGGCTGATGGATCATTATCCTTGAATTTGGTAAGCTGTATCTTTTTCCTTCACAAATAAAGGAGAAACAAGGTGCATACTTAATACACAGAAATATGTCATTTAAAAAGAACTACAAAAATAAAATTCCAAAATTTGATGACACTAAAAACTTGTACCTTTAGTTCCAGCACTAAGCAGGAAAGCTCCCATACTGTCAATTATTACAACAAACGGAGAACCAAATATAAGAACAAACATATTACTTTAAAAAATGAGGGTGAGGTTACAGATAATAGCTTTATGGTGGGAAAACTTCTCCTTCTCGCTCATTGCGAGAAGGAGAACGAAACATTCTTTCTAATAAGGATGTGGAAACACTCCCTAGCAGACGTGTTTTAAAAACCTTGAGGGAAAGTCCAAAGAAGACAATATCTGCTAGCGGTGGGCTTGGGCTGTTACAAATGGTATCAGAGCCAAACATCGGGCGATGTGCTAGTAAGGAGGTTGAGCCCTGAAGGGGGGTGGACACGAGGCGGTGTGCCAGCATGGACGCTTGGCCCCAAAAGGAGGTGGATTCAGGGGTCCCATATCGATTAGAGAAGGGAACCAATGCCGGAGAAGGGAACCACTACCAGCAACGACGCTGGGCCCTGAAGGAGGGTGGATTATGAGATCTCACATTGGTTGGGGAGGAGAACGAAACATTCTTTATAAGGATATGGAAACCTCTCCCTAGTAGACACGTTTTAAAAACCTTTAGGGGAAGTCCGAAAGGGAAAGCCCAGAGAAGATAATATCTGCTAGCGGTGGGCTTGGGCTGTTACACTCATACTTTCCTCTTTCTATCTTTCCTAAGTTACTGATACACTGTACAAGAGACGCAGCCTTCATAAACGTATCTATATTATGCAAGCCATAAAACTAGTAGAAAAAGATGATAATTGGAACCAAGAGGAAGCGATATGCGACTATTTTAGTTTAGATAATAATTCTTCCCAACACAATTCAGCAATGCCACAACAAATTGCAAATAACACTTGGGGAATAAAAGGAAAAAATCAGAATGTATCAGCTCATAAAAGTACGGATGCTCCAATTAATCTTGTACCTTGCGGCTAGTCCTACGCAGACAGTAGAGACATCTGGTCGAATATGCCTCATAGTGTCAAAAATGGCCATACCTGCACAGATCCAAGTGAATCAGTGGTTAAAGGATAACACTAATCCGAATCTCCAATGAACAAATGATTGGTGAAATAGTTTTCTGATTCCAATATTACCAGCTGTAACAGATCCACCAGGGGAATTTACATACAAAATGATATCCTGTTAAACATACCAAAAATATTTAGTTAATTGATTAATTATGCAGAAACGATAACAAACTGTATATGAGATACTTCCTTAAAATGGATTGAGAACCAAAAAAGGAACCTTATTGGGATCAACAGCATCAAGGTATAGAAGTTGAGCAACAATGATATTAGCCATATCATCATCAACCGCACCACCACAACGAACAATTCTCTAGTCCAAAGCAAATTAAATTATCAAAAGATAGTGATAACAACCTACACGCGCTACACCAAACCTGGGCCGAGGAAATAAATATCGTAGAACTACACCCTTACATGTTGAAATAGCTGGCTGATAACACTTTGGAAGCGCTCCTGCACCATTGGAGGAGGACCTTGCCCTTGCGCGTACGTTGGAAAGTATGGTGAAGATGGAATTTGCACATCATCCCTATGAATCATACAGAAATATAATTTCACCATGTCTATGCTTAGTATTTCAATAAATGGTAATGATTATAGCCTTCTTTAGCCTCAAAAGAATGAAAGGGGAAATTCCAAGTTCATCAATCTATGCACCTTATAGACCAAAGTCCTCGGCGAGAACTCTTATCCAATGATGAAAACTCTCCTGAGTAGATGGCTTTGACAGGAGAATTCTTAAGGTTTCTTCCACCTCCAACGAATTTTCCTAGTTTCCTGCAAATAGGACATTACCCGTTGCTGCTACAATTAAAACAATAGAGAAATACGAGAACACAACTTCTGCAGCAGAAAAGAAAAAAAGTACAAAATAGAGGGGTTTGAATTTAAGTTCATCCCCAGAAGAGTAGAACGGTAACAAAATTGAGGTTAAAAAAAAAAAAAAAACCAGAATTTCCCAATCTTATCATGCATCCAAAAGCGTGCCATTGGTACCAGTAATCTGCAAATACCCAAAGTCCAATTGGACGTCGAAACCCTTCCATTTTCAAACTTAAAACTAAGTAATGCACCAATTCAAACAATCCATCATCGTCTCACTAACCTGATTCAAAGACGCTAACACATTCAAACACCAAATTAAACTAACATTGAATCGAAACACAAAAAACGAAGACAACCAAAAACAGGTACCTCGAATGGAAATTCTCCAACGGAAGAAAGAGCTTCTGAGACTCGGAAGAAGAGCTCGAATTTGGAACAGAAACGAGGGAGTTTAATCTGAAAGACGAGGCAGATGTGTAGGTGAAAGTATGGGCCATTTTTGCAGCTGAAGGTTTCGGAAAAACTGGACAGAAAGCAATAGGGTGAAGAAGAACCTGCCGAGAATTCGGAGCAAAGTCCGAGAGGCCTTATCCGAGGGAAGAAGCGAACGACGGCGAAGATAGAGATGAAGAAGAAGATGGGTCGAACAAGTAATTCGATGGCAGTGACCTCTGTTAATATCTCCATCAGAGGCTTCGAGCCCCTTCGCTTTCACACTCACTGAGCCCGACAAGTCAGTCATGGGCCGAGATCCGTTTGGTGTTGGGTTTGGATCGTATACGCAAGCTTAGCGTTTGGCCCAATTGGCCCAATAACGACTTTGACAGACGAGAGCCCGACAAGTCAGTCATGGGCCGAGATCCGTTTGGTGTTGGGTTTGGATCGTATACGTCAAGCTTAGCGTTTGGCCCAATTGGCCCAATAACGACTTTGACAGACGAGAGCCCGACAAGTCAGTCATGGGCCGAGATCCGTTTGGTGTTGGGTTTGGATCGTATGCGTCAGGCTTAGCGTTTGGCCCAATTGGCCCAATAACGACTTTGACAGAGGAGAATAATTACGTTACAGACTGAGAGAGAGTGAGACTGAGAGAGAGTGAGAGATCGAACCATAGACTAAACTAACTCTACAACCATATATGTTTGCCCGAGCATAACTCACATTGTCCCGATTGTGATTTCTTTTTTTAATAAATTTACATTACATTATTCAATTATTTATTATTTATATAATAATATATAATAATAAATTGTTATAATATAAAAAAATTATTATTTACATAATAAAATTTATAAATGAACTTCTACTACACTCCTCGTTGAAATAGATTATGATAGCTTGTGGCATCTGCATGCTCTTGGCATCGATCTGTGGGCTCCCAATTCGACCCAGATCAAAGAGTGGGCTCCCAATTCGACCCGAACCAAAGAGTCTAACATTGTGCAAGTTAACTTTAATTATCCCGACCCCGACCATTGAGACATCATAATCTAAAAAGGGAAAAATATTTTTAGTCCTATTATTTTAGGTACCATTTTCATTTAATTTAGGTTTCAAAATGTTCATTTTTTTTTAATTTTTGGTCGACAAAATATTATATTTTTATTTAAATTTAGTCTCCTATATTTTAATATTTTAGGTATTTTACATAAATTCTAAATTTTGATTAATTTATAAATTAATTATCATTGTTTTTTTAAAATTTGTATTAAAGTTTTCATAAATTCTCAATTTTGATTAATTTATAAATTAATTTTATTTTAATTTGTATTAAAGTTAATTAAAAGAAATTATGTAGATGAAAACTACCACTTAATAAAAATATAATATTTTAAAATTTAGGGATGAAATTGAAATTATAAAAAATAATATTTTGACTAAAAAATGTATACTAAAAAACTTGAAGGGAGGAGTTTTTTTCTTTATTTGTTTCCTTATAAAAACCAATAAAATATCGCAATATGAATTTAAAAATTCAAAACTGGAGTAAAAAAAATGATGAAAATAGGTAAATACTTTGAACATGTAATATTTTGCCATTGCCAATTGAGTCCGTTCAGAAAAGTTCTTCCATCCATTCATTAAAACAAGAAGATTCGCAGAATCAATTCATCAGGGAATGCACAGAGGAGAATCTGATATCATCATTATGCTTGATCGATCTTCTCCAAATGAACACGTCCAGTTGAAGAAGAAGATGAACAACAAGTCTGTCTTCGCTCACAGAAGCAATTTCGAAATCGCCAAGCAGTTACTGGCGTATTTACTCATCTTCGAGCTAAGATTGTCCAATGGCGAATCCACTCCCATCTCTATAAAAGTATCATCGCAAGTCGTCAGATCAGACATTACGGCGGCGAGGACGCTCTCCATTGTACCAGTATCTTTAGTGTCGATTGATTCCAATCCAGATTGTAGGTCATAAATTGCCATATCGAAAGTCTCCAAGCAAGTATCGTAGCACGAGATTTCGACTTTCGATGCACTTTTACGGAGTGACTTCAATTTTGTTACTGCTTTCCTCACCTCTTTAATCGATTCCTCAATTTCCGTTTTCAGTGCAGAGGTAGGATTCACCTCTGATTCATCTATGTGAGATGAAATCGATTTTGTACACAACTGTGGATCGCTGGTTACATCGCAGATCTCTTCGAGATCGGTTGGGACGGTCGAATCGTCGGAGGAGGACGCCGAAGTCGGTGGTGTTGATGATGGAGATTGAGGCGACGATGCTTCCGATTTTTCCGATGAAGAATATGAATCGAAAGGGAATTCCATGTCGGAGGGAGACAACGCATCGGAGTACGATTCTTGAGAATTTAGTGCCGAGTCTTCGGAGTTGGTTGGCGACTGAGCCGGTGGTGATGGCGATGTTGATACCGATGGTTGTGGTGATGAAGATTGAGACGGCGATGCTTGCGGTGCAATAAGTGAATCAACAGGGGAACCAAACGGAGCGGAGTTGCGAGGGACGCAAACGGTATTGGCAGGGAAAAAAAGAGAAGAGAGGGCGAGGAGGAGGAAGACATTGAGGCCATTGATGATCTCCATCTTTTGTTCTTGTTGTTCTCTTCCTCCAGAGAACAATAAGATAATAACAGGGTGAAAGGGAAGGGAAATGGATGGAGTGTTGTTGAAGGTAATTGATGGAGGAGGAGGGGCTTTAAAGAAGGCATCAACCGCCATTGGAGCTCAATCCAGCAAATGCCTGAAATAGGTAAAGCTTTCTTCTGGTTTCAAATTTCTGATCGCCTTTCCACCATAATTTCTCCTTCATCTTCGTTCGATAACTGTTTATAACATGAACATCCAAATATAGAATTTTGTACTTGACTTTGTCTATTTCTAACATGAACAAAAAGATACCTCATTTTTTGTGACCTTAAAAGACTAATTACACGATCACTTATTATGATAGCCTACTTGTAGTCATTTTGGTGGTAATTACATGATCACTTAAGGTATGATTATCACAATGCCATTACGATTACTTGCGTTTGTGACATTACTTTTGGTGTCCCCGATGACTAGTTACATGATTATTTGGTGTATAATTATCGTAATGTTATGGCCGATAACCAACTTCTAGTTATATCGATGGCAAATTACAAGATTACTTGGCGTGTAATGATCACAATGTCAAATGGTAATACTTTAATTAAACAAACCCAAACGCTTTTACGTGGCACTTTAGTGCCAAACCAAATTCTCGAGTGTATGTCCAAATGTCTACTTGCGTCAATTGACACTAATTTATAATCATAATAGGACTTTTTACTTCATGTGATTGAGATTTAAAAGTATAAAGACCTGCGAAACAGAACTTAGATTTTTCTCCGAACATAGCCTTATAAAAATATTCAACCCTATGCTCGAGTTCGTTGGTAAAAAAGAAAAAAGATTAGAAAACATGGTAAATTTAAAGCCTAATAAAAAGGGGGAAGAATCATATGCAAAAATCATTCAATGGCCATTCCCCATCATACAGAGCTAGAAGAACATATATTTACAAAATCTATCATCCAAAACATTCAGAATAAACGTCACTGCCATGAAAAAATTGAAACACAGCAGTTCTCCACTAAAACCTATAAGTTTGAAAGAGATGAACACCCCCCTTTCCTTTTCCCATCAATCACCATTACTAAGTCCTGATCATGCAACCATATTTTCTTAAAACTGATCTACAATCCTCGCCAAACCGAAAAAGGAGGGGAGTGATGGAGGGGGATTCTACCAACTCGTGAGATTCCTAGTTACCTTGCTTTGAAGGCTTTCATCGTCCCTCGTGGAGATCTTCGGAGAAAATTGCTGTCCGAGATACATTGTCATTGTCAAAAGCGCTTAAACCAGAATAAGGACCAGAAGAGAACATCGACGAGGATCCATCGGACTCGAATGTTGTGGAGAATTGTTTGACATTGGTTTGGTTGTTGGAGGATGGTACCACGGTGTCTTGGTATTCTGTAGTCCGCTGGACCATTTTAAGAGACTGTACAACTTCGCCCATAGTTGGGCGTTGGCCAGCCTCTGAAGCAACACAGGCTGCAGCAATGGTACACACCCGCACGAAATCTTCCATCGGATACTTTCCTCCGAGTCGTGGATCAGCAAGTTCTTCCAACCGATCCTTATCTCTCAAAATTGGCCTAGCCTGTAAGGAATAAACCTACTAATCTTAGCTTCAACCAATATACAAATGGTAAATGTATACACTTTGCAAAGATTAAACCAGAAAGACACAGCAGCAAGCACATTTATCAACATCAAATGATGAGAAAATAATGGGAATTGCTTCACAAAACGCACCCATGTGACAAGGTTCTCTTGCCCTGATGTTTGTGACATATCGACAGGTTTTCTTCCGGTGAGCAACTCAAGAAGAACAACTCCATAGCTATAAACATCACTTTTAACGAGTAAATGACCAGTCATTGCATATTCGGGGGCGACATACCTGCAAGAGAACTCCATTCAATGAAGATCCCAAAATTCAATATACAACAACTAACTATTACTAGGCGGGGAATGAGACAAACCCAAATGTACCCATCACACGAGTAGAAAGGTAATTAGCTCTGCCTTCCGGAGCTTGTTTAGCAAGACCAAAGTCAGCAACTTTGGCATGGAAGTTGTTCTCAAGCAGTATATTTGATGCCTTAAAGTCTCTGTGGATAACACACGGTTGCGAGTCTTCATGAAGGTAAGCAAGTCCTCGAGCGGCATCAAGCGCGATCTTCATTCTGGTGTCCCAATCCAAAGGACAATTAACACCTAGAGGCCCTAGCAAAAATATACTTGTCAATACATCATCGTAAAAAGCTTTTAAACGCAGTTTAAATTTCCATCGAGAGAATGGATACCATGGAGCCAGGCCTCCAAGCTTCCATTGGGAACAAGTTCATAGCATAGCAGGTTCTGTGAAGAATCACGATTACTGTAGTAGCCAACAAGTTTAACAAGATTTCGATGATGCAACCGACTAAGCATCTCGACCTCAACCAAAAACTCCTTATCACCTTGTTGCCCTCCACTTGTAAGCCTCTTGATTGCAACAGCTGTGCCGTCACTTAAGACACCCTTAAAAACCCTGCCAAAACCACCCTCCCCCAATATGCTTTCTGCTTGGAAGTTATTAGTTGCTTCTTTAAGCTCCTCGTAAGTTAGAAACCTCATACTTGATGGATGAGGGAAAGATCCTACCCCAGGCACTTTGTCTTCAACCCTTGGTTTTTCTGAGATGTCAGAAGAATGGATGAAAATACAGTTGACATAGTAGTAAAGAACAGAAATTATGCAAAAAAAAAAAAAAAATTGTATATGAGTTCAAAACCATGTAATAAATTTTTGAGGATAGTGGAGCAGAAGTCTTAAAAAATGTCAAAACCACAATTTAACTCATTTATGCTCACTTTGTATGACCAGTGCTTCATTCGAACTTAATTTAATCTCTTCTTTGGCAATTCCTTTTATCTTATAGCCATAAAATCCAATGGATACTAAGGTTTCAGTATTATGTTCCCTTCTTCATCCCAACAGTAGGTTCAAGGTGGCGATAGCGATGGATACTTTCATAAACTGTGTAAACCAGACACAGGAACAAACTAAGGACGTAGGCTAAAATTTTATATACGTACCAGCTACTAAAGGAGGTGCTTCAGTCTTCCCATGACGAGATGTGTATAGACAAATTATCAACACAAATAGAATGGCAATGAAAAAAAAGCCAGCACCGATCCCAAGAATAAGGGTCAGATTCGAATGGTGTCCTTTACTAGGAGGACTCAGAGATGTTGAGGCTGGAAAATGATATACAGGAGCTGCTACAGGTGATGCCGAAGCTGTAGGAGCTGTAGATCCAATGAAAATATTGTAACAACACCATAACTTGAAAGCAACCACAATTAACACATCCGCTACAGGCTTAGCAGAACAAAACAGCAAAAACATTTATATCCTCAAAAGCAACAGTATTTCCAGCAGTGGGTAACCTAGGTTCCTCAATTATGAAGGAATTACTAATTTATAGTCTTTATTTGCTTCAAATCAAATTCTATACAAGTTGCAAATTACCCAATAAAATGGTCCATAAAACCTAAAGCTGCATAATAATGTAATTTAGAAGTTAGCAGAATCAATCTTAATTACTGTTTGATATATTGGATGTACCTTGAGAAGGAGGAGGAGGCTTAAACCAGGTGAGATTGAGAAGATTGTAATCACCAACCAGTGTAGGGTCTAGATGAACCTTGTGCATTGTAAGTGAAGAGTTTATCGTCGATGCATCAACCGCAGAAAAGCTGATCCCAGCATGTGGAGTGATGTCCATTGAGATATTTAACCTTGATAAACTAATTACATAAAAGTTTATCAGCTCAATCTGAGAGACTCGTAAACCTAGTTCGGAAGCTAACTCTTCGAGAAAAAGTTTCCAATTAGGAGTCTGTGATACATTCAAGAGGAGGAGATCAATTTTTATGGGATAGACACAGTGGCAGTCATTGCCACTTCCTCGTTTCAGCACCATGTCAGGTTTGCAACAGTCTGCTAGATGATGAATAAAACCAGGAGCAGGCCTCAAATAAGTTTATTTGTCAACAAATAAAATTAACCTAAGTAGCTTACTTTTAATTCATAAGCAAGCAAGAAAGAACATACTTCATTAGAAGGGAATGAAAAAAAGGAAGAAAAAGAATCCAGTATACGATTTACCTGCTGCATTAGGAGAAAGTGGTGGCTGAGGTAATCCAAGGGGAATAGCTCCAGCACTGGACTGTATGGGAGCAATGTTTTCAAGCCTACCATCAGGAGGAGCCGATCCACTCTTCATCAATGGTTTTGAAAAACTTGAACTCGTGGGTGAGTGACCAGAAGTGATAAGAGGCCCATAGTAAGGAGGAGATGCTGGTGCTAGTCCAGCTGCTGACACACTCTGCGGTGACATATTTTTTCCACGGTGGTGTTGGTGAGGAGGCAATTTGGCAGGAAAAGGCATATTGTGGATAGCAGGTGCAACCAAAGGTGCTGCTGATATATCGGGTACGTAGGCATTGGTGACGGGAATCAGAAACCACAATAAAATGAACTGTTTTGGAAACGAGCAAGCAACCTGTTTCAATATACCTGCATTATAACCTCCAAATCAAGGTTTCGTACACTAAAAATATGTATCGATGTAAACATCTCTAAGTTTCCTTGTATGTAAGATAGCTTAAGGATTCTAAAGGGACTTGGGAAAGTTGTAAAAGAAGGTGAAGCAGCTAATTGGTGATACTAAAATTTTCTTCAATCCCCCAAAGGTATGTTTCAAGGAGTTCACTAATTCATTACCAGTGGAGTACAGTGAAGAAGGAACGAGTCCCGAGTCCCGAGTCCCGCTCTTGATTTGCCTTTGATTAAAAAAATTATATAAAAAGTTAAAGATTTCAAAATTTCATCTCTAATTTAGCCCCTAAATCATCAACAGATTTTAAAAACATATAATTTTTCCCCCTCAATGAAAATGTTTACTCCATCCCCAAATTCTAGACAAGCATCCTTTTGCCTTAAGTGCTTGTTTTTCGCCACTTGAATAGAACAGAACAAACGATTACAGCAATTCGCCATCCTCATACCACATTTCCTCACTTGAAAATTACAAAAATGGATTTCCAGAGTTGAAAGCAGCTATCAAATTTAAGTAAAGA